GTCTGTTTTTCCACTATACCAAACTTACAATCCTAGTTCATGCATGTAGGTATGTATTGAAAGTTAAGCCGCATGTATAGGTAGGAGCGGTAGAAATATGTACTTGCAATGCAAAGAAATAAATTCTCTCTACCGTTTGACCATCTCTGACTAAATTTAACATCTTTTTTTGCGATGATGTCATCGAAAAACAAATGGATAGATGCAACAACAAATTCCCGTATAAAACCAATACCTGGGAATTAAATTTAACTCCTTGACATGAAACAAGAAGAACGGAAAAGGGCCTTAAATCACCAAAAATTAGGTGATGTAATAAAATGGAAAATGAGGTAGTGGTTTTATAACAGAGCTTGTGGATCATCGGGGAAACCTGTGAAATACCCCTAAAAAACTTACCCCGTGGATGAGTTATTCGGTGATGATGGAAGGGCGAGTCAGTTCTTACAAGAGCGACGAAACGACTCAAAAATGACTGGCGTCTGTAATGCAAACATATTTTCTTCATTTGCTAGGGTCAGCTGATAACCAATAAAAATAACGGGAGAGAGGGGGAAAATCAGGGCATCGGCTTGAATATTTCGACTACACTAATGGAACTGTTGTCAATAAACATACCTAAAACGACTTACCATTATTTTAAAAGGTGTGACGACACCTCTCGAGTGTAAGGAATGTTGTCACCGTTTGCCAAGCGCTGATTGAGAGAACTCAAACAGTTGATTTTGATGTATTACTTGCCAAGGGCTTTGGCTTTTTTCCTTTGAGAAATTGTGGCCCTGAGACGAAAACTGACTATTTTATTTTGGGCTAATTTTTTCCAGAATGTTGAATTAGGTCAAGTTAAAACCCTTTACCGCTTCAAACTCATCCAAAAATCGTCTGCCATTCCTGAAAACAAATTTCAACCCAGCCCGGAATTGTACAGCAGAAAACGTCATCATGACGACAAAGGCTCAACAAACTTATCAGTGCTTCGCTTTATCACAACTCTCTTTGTTCACTGCACAAAGAAGCACATGTGCTACTTTTTTGAGGGCTGTTTCGTTGTCAGTCGTGAAATGTCGACTTTCCCTGTCCCAGGAATCATCTGAAGCTTCTGAGGATAGTCTTGCATCGGCGATGAATCTTTGCCATGAGGATAAAGACAGAACAGTACGGACTCCCCGTGTGGCTTTTCTGGTCGCGTCGCATTATCGCCTTTAAATTGTATTTTTGCTTGCCGTAAGGGATTTTCCCATTTTTAGAGATGATCAGATGGTATATAATTTTTTTTTCGGAAATG